ATGAACTAACTTATGAAAGAGAGCTGTGAATATTAATTACCAAGTAAGAGAATGGTAGCCCATGACAATATACATGGGAAATCCTAAAGACTCCACATAAAACTGTTAGAACTAACTAATAAATGAATTCAAAGATTTGCAGGATACAAAACCAACATACAAAAAACAGTTGCATTTTTATATACTAACAACAAACTATGCTAAAGGGAAGTTAGGAAAACAATCCAGTTATAGTAGCATCATAAAGAACAAAACACTTAGGATTAGATTTAATCAACGAGATGAAAGTTTTGTATACTGAAAACTATGAAACGCTGATGAAAGAATTTAAAGCAGACACAAATAAATGGAAGGACATTTTGTGTTCTTGGCTTGAAAAAATTAAATTTATTAAAATGTCCTTACTCCCCAAAGCAATCTAAAGTTTTGATGTAGTCCTTTTGAAAATCCTAATGATATTTTTTACCAAAATAAAAAGAAATTCTAAAATTTATACAGATCCACAAAAAACCCTGGATAGCCAGGGCAATTTTGAGCAAGAAGAACAAAGCTTGAGGCATCACAGTTCCTGATTACAAAATATATGACAAAGTTATGGTAATAAAAACAGTATGGTTCTGGCATTAAAATAGACAGGTCAATGGAGCAGAATATAGAGCTCAGAAATAAACTCACACATATATTGTCAACTGATCTTTGACAAGGTTGCCAAGAATACACAATGGGAAAAGAAAAGCCTCTTCCGCAAATGGGCCTGTGAAAACTGGATATCTACATGTAAAAGAAAAGATTGAACCCTACACCATACACAAAAAGTACTCAAGATGGACTAAATACTTGTATAACAGTTGAATCTTTAAACTGCTAAAAGAAAACATAGGGGGAAAGCTTCTTGACATGGGCCTTGGCAATAATTTTTTGGATCTGATACCAAAACCACTGGCAATCAAAGGAAAGTGGACTATTAGGGTTAAATCAAAATGAAAAGCTTTTTCACACCATAGGATACAATCAATATATGAAGATGTAGCTTATGGAATGGGAGAAAATATTTGCAAACCATACATCCGATACAGGGTGTATATCCAGAATATATGGAAGACTTCTACAACTCAATAGCAAAAAGACAAACACACCAATTTAAAAAATGAACAAAGTAACTGAATAGACATGTCTCCAAAGAAGACATAAAAGTTACCAACAGGTATACAAAGAGATTCTGAACATTACTACTCAGAAGGGAAATGCAAATGAAAACTGCAATGAGATATCACCTCACGCTTTCCAGAATATGTATTTAAAAAAATAAATAAAACAAGAGAAAAAGAGAACAAATGCTGGTAGTAATATGGAAAAAAGAAAACCCTTGTACACTCTCGGTGGGAATGATAATTGGTGCAGCCACTACAGAAAGCAGTATGAAGTTGCTTTAAAAAAACAACAACAAAAAACCTACCATATGATCCCGCACCCCACTTCTTGGCACATATGCAAAGAAAATGATAACAGGATCTCAAAGAGAAATCTGCACACCCTTGTTCGCCAAAGTTTTATGCACAAAGACCAAGATGTGGAAGCATCCTCAATATCTTTTGAAGACTGGATAAAGAAAGCCTGGTATTTACATGCAATGGGATAAAATTCAGCCTTAAAAAAAGAAATCCTGCAATCTGTGACAACATTTATGAACCTGGATATATTATGCTAAATAAATAAGCCAGCCATGTATACTGCAAGATACCACTTGTAGGATGAAGAATTTGAAACAATAAAACTCAGTGGAGTGGAGCTGGGATAGGTGGTTGTCAGTGGCTGGCAGGTTAAGCAGGAGGTATGATTCAAATGTACAAAGTTTCAGTATATAAGATTGATTTAAGGCAGTGATTTTCAAACTTTTCTTTTCCTCATGGCACACATAAACTACTTACTAAGGAAAAAGAGGGGCACTGCCTCTTCTCCCTTCGTAATCAGCTCATGTGTGCCGTGAGGTGGCAAAGGTGGTATTTAGTCAGGGCCACTGCCCTCCTCTTCTTTAGTAATCAGTTTACGTGTGCCATGAGAAAAAAAAAGGTTGAAAATCACCGATTTAAGGAATTTTTTTTAATATAATCTGGATATGAGTCCTTGATTGATATTTACATTGTAAATATTTTCTCCTATTTGGTGACTGATATCGCTATTTTTATGAGTTATTTTAATGAGTAAAATATTTTAATTCCTTTTTATTGAGTTATAATCAACATACCACATGTCGATGATACCACATGACGGTGTACAACATAGTGATTTGATATTCATTTATACTGCAAAATGATCACCGTAATAAATCTGGTTAACATTCATCACCGTACATAGTTACACAATGTTCTGTCTTGTGATGAGAACTTTTAAGATTTACTTGCTTAGCAATGTTAAAGTATGCAATGCAGTATAATTAACTGTAGTTGACATGCTGTACATCACATCTTCATGGCTTTGTAACTGTAGGGTCTTACCTTTTGACTTTCTTTACCCAATTCTCTCACTTTCCACTCCCTGCCTCTGGCAACCACCAATCTGTTCTCTTTTTTTTTTTTTTTTTTTGAGTCCACATATAAGTGAGATCAAAAGGTATTTGTTTTTCTCTGTTTTGACTTATTTAACTTAGCATATGCTTTTCAGGTCCATCTGTGTAATTGCAAATGGGAAGACTTCCATCTTTGTTATGGTTGAGTAATATTCCATCATATGTATGAGCTCTATCTGGAAAGAATGCAGCCATCGTTAATATAATGAGAATGGTTTGCCCAACATCCATGTAACCTGGCAGCCAAGGAGACTAGACTGGAATGTGCCTGCATGAACAATGATGATTCACTGTACTAGTTAGTGGGGGCAGTAGACACCCAAATCTGCATCAAATTTTGCATTAAGCTTAAGCATTCCTCTGCAGAAACTATTCAGATGTTTCAGAAGGCCACTACTATGGGCAACTGGTGATTGGCAGCTTCATCATGATAATGCACCACTCATGCGTCACGTCTCATGCAGAGTCTCTGGTGAAACATCACATCACCCTGGTGACTCAGTTCCTACAGAGCACAGACTTGGAGCCCTGTGACTTCAGGCTTTTCCCAAAACTAAAATCACATTTGAAAGGGAAGAGATTTCAGACCATTGATGAGACTCAGGAAAATATAATGGTGCAGCTGATGGTGATTCCATCAGAAGATTTGGCAGAGTGTTTTGAACAGTAGAAGAGATGCTAGAACTGTGTGAAGTCCCAGGGTGCCTACTCTGAAGGGGACTGAGGTGTCACTGTCCTATGTAGAATGTTCCTTGTATCTTCTTAACTAAATGTCTTTATTTTTCATGTTACATGGCTAGATAGCTTCTAGACATATTTTCTGAATGGATAAAGAAAATGCCATACTTTCTTTATCCATTCAGTTGTCAATGAACCCTTAGAGAGTTTCCATATCCTAGTTATTGTAAATAATACTGCAGTCAACATGGAAGTACCTATATCTTTCTGAGTTAAGGTTTTGTTTTCTTTGGATACATACCTAGAAGTGGAGTTGCTGAATCATATGATAGTTCTATTTTTAATTTTTGAGGAATCTACATACTGTTTTAATCGTGGAAGCATCAATTTCAGTCCCATCAACAGAGCACTAGGGTTCACTTTTAACCAGCATTTGTTTGCTCCTGTGTTGTTGATAATACCCATGGAATATTTTTGTTCTGAAGAAGTATAATTTAACATTTTTTCTTTGTGTGTATAGTGCACTTTATTTTTTAAAAAAAAATATTTTATTTATTCTTAGAGAAGGGGGAGGGAGAAGGAGAGGAAGACAAACAGTAATGTGTAGTTGCCTGTAGCATGCTCCCTGCTGGGGACCTGGCCCGCAACCCAGGCATGTGTTCTGACTGGGAATTTAACTGGCGGCCCTTTGGTTCACAGGCTGGTGCTCAATCCACTGAGCCACACCAATCAAGGATATAGTGCACTTTATATCCCTTTTAAGGAATCTTTACCTACCCCGAGATTATAAAAATTTTCTTCTATGTTTTCTTTTAGAATCTTTATGATATTAGTTTTAACATTTAAGACAGTGATTCACCTCAAATTTATTTTCGTATATGGTGTGAAGTGAGGGTCAATGTTCTTTGTTTACTTAAAAATATTTGTTCCAAAACAAAAGCAGATAGGCGTAGAGAAAAATAGAATCCAGTTTTAGGATTTGTAGGATTATGTTTATGATTCTAAGCGGAATGAAAATAAATTGATTTCAATTTTGAGTTAATCTTCCTTATCTTTGACTGTAGAAGTTACACTCTGAACTGTAAGGGGAAAAAACTAGGGAAAGGAGAGTAGAAGACAGAGAGGTATGGTGGCCTGTGGACAAGACAGTAATTATCTAGAGGAATTTTGTAGACGGGGAAAATAAAGCATCCACACACAAATCCATTTTGCAACAGAGGCAAGTACTTCTTCTACCATTTTCCCAGAATCCCATCTGTGCCCACAGACCACACAGCTGCCACCCAATAAAGAACCATATACTGTGTGCATCTTGCAGTCAATTGTCCCAGGTCTTTCTTATTTGTAGCCAGCCCATGGGCATGACAGCTTGACAGGAGTGATGATCAACTGTGCCCCATGGAACTGATCAGTTCTTCACTTCCCTCAGCTTTTCCCTGTGTTCACAACACTCCAATTCTATCCCAAGGCCAAAGTAAACTTTTGAGCAATAGCATGGGGCTCAGGTTATTTAGAAGGGTGATGTATGTGAGGGAAAGCAATTCTATTCTGAACAGAAGCCTCCTGATAGCTCCCCATCATATGTTCCAAGTGTCTCTAGACTCAGTATGCATGGTTTCAAATAGAGGATCCAGTTAAGAATCATACTAATCATTATTACTATAACTAAGCATGAATTGAATCACTCTGTAAGGAAAACATGCCTTCGCACTTTATTTCATCTTCGCAATTTTATGGCAATAACATTGCTGGCATCATCATTTTAACTTTAATTTAGAGACAATTGTTTGACATTCTGAAATCGCTCATTCAAGTTCTTCCTAGTGGAGGGGAGGGGAGCTGGTGAGGAAATGATGCTCCTTGGATTTTTAGAGTATGTTACAGGCAGGGAATTGTTGCATGTTTCTCATCTGGAGAGCCTGTATCTCATTTTGAAGTTTCATGCTCACTTTCTTGAATCCCTCCTTAAAAAGTTTTTCATTTTCCTGAAAGAGAAAGCGAAGGCTGAACTCACACAATTTAAAACATTTCCCACATTTGCCAAATTACTGCCCCTGTCAATACCTATGTTAATCCCTCATGAGTTCTTGAAACTTATTTTTTTAATTTGTGCCTGTCTTAACTTATACCCCTCTCTCCAGAGTTTTCTATGCCTGCCAATAATTTACTGGGCTTTGTTTAGCTATATAAATCTTCTGTTATAGTTTCCAAAACATCTGTGACCCAGAATCATATTCTTGGCCCTCTTCACCCACATGCAACACAGTGTTTCTGAAAAATCTATCGTATTTTTCCTTTAACTCTGATCTAGTTAGTGTGGACTCTCAAATGTATGACTAAGAAGGTAAAAAAGGTGAATGAATTCCACTGGGAAGGTTACTACATGACTCAGAATCATGGCAGATGTTTGATGAAGGAACTCAGCACAACTTTCCAAAATTTGGTAACAAGGAGACAGAAATAAGTTGAAGAAATCAGGGTCTGCACTGGTTTATACTGTATTTCTGGGTGGACGTCTGGATTCAGCAATGACTCAGATTAGAGCCTAGAGAAGAGGAAGAAACAGCAGCCTGGGCATTTAAATACATGATTAATTGTGTAGATGGTCATGGAGTCTTCCCTTTCATAGGGTGCTTGCAGGGATAATGTAATACCAGATATGACAGAAACCAAATCACCATGAACCCCACTCAGTAGGGTAGAGAGATCAGGTATTCTTCTAAGACTCAGAAGCATCACTTAACTCTCATGAAATTACAATTTCCTTATTGGAAAATGAGAATAGAATAGTACCTACAACATAACATGAGGATGTGGTCACAGAATGACTGTAAAACCATCGTGCAGAGCCCATCAGTGAATAGCTGTTGTGTGTTAGTGATTTATAATAATGGATTCCATGAAATTCTATCTTGCAAGTAAATATACTTTAGTACCCAGAGACAGTCACAGGTAGAAACAATAAGAGAATGCAACATCTATTTGTGTTTGGGCTAGAAAAGTTCTTAATCTGACACAAAGCTCTACCTTGTAAGCAGTGTTTTTAGCTCAGGTCTATGGAAGATAAAATGGCGATGCCAGAATTAAGTACCTGAAGTTTAAGGTTTAGAACCTTCTCTTTCTCTGCCATTAACTGGGCCCTCTCCATCTCCATCTTGTCATTCAGTTGTTTCAAATGTTCCTGATAACTCTTTTCTTTCTCTTCCATCATCTGCAGAGTCTTCCTTTGCATTTCCTCCAACATTTTTTGTGCTGCTTCTGCAGATTCAGCCTTTATACGTTCCACTGAGGGAGAAAAATAGGCAGAGAAATATGAGGATTCAATTGTTATAGCCTTATTTTGCTCTTCATCCCCACATTTTAAAAAATTTTTTATGTCATAAAGAAAGCTCCCTGTGATGATTTTTGCAAAAAGGTAAGCAAAAGACGACCAAAAATACCAGCTAAAAGAAGCTAGTAGAACTATGAATTATACTTGCTGTACTTTAGCCTACAATAATGTGTCAGGTGGAGTAATGTGGCTAACATTAACATTTCTAGGGCTTTCCATCTATCCAGAGTGTTTTCACATGTTCTCACCTTCAATCTCCTTGTCCTTTTCTGTGAGTGACTCATCAGTCTGTAGAATGGCATCCGCCACAGTCTCCTTGGACTCCAAGTATTCCCTCAGCATCTCTTCTGCCTAGTGACACAGAGGAAGTTAGAATGAAGAAATAGAGTCTATGGGTTTAGGCAAAATCCAGCAATATATGTGTTAATTCAATTTAATTTTATCATGCATATAACAACCCTTATGGAATTCAAGTAGCATTTCAAACTAAACTGTCCTGAAAGCCAACTTTGGGTCACCTCTCAAACCTATTTCATTCCCTATCACCCCAATTTTAGTCATTTAATTAGTAACTCTTGTTTTCTAACTCTACATGTTAACAGCCTTAACAGTTACCCTTGATATGTTCTTTTTTCTCACACACCTCACATGCAATCATTAGCTGATGATTTTTGCCCTGTCCTCAAATAAAACCAGCCAGAGCCCATCGCTGTCACCAGCTCCTCCCAAGTGCCTTGGTCCAAGACATCATTACTTCTTGTGTGGATCATTGCATTAGCTTCAGAATTGGTCTCCCTATTTTGATTCTTGCTCCCCTATAGTCCATTCTTCTCAGGCACCTAATGTTATGCTATATGATTTTAAGAAAGATCAGTTCCTTCTTATGCACAAAATGTCCTGATGATTTTCCTACTCTTTCCAAATACAATTCAAATTTTCTTAGTGGCCTCCCACATACTACCTTGTCTCCCTTGTGGCTTTTGAACACTTTTTGACCTCATCTCCTGCCACCTCATCCTTTGCTCACTTCCTTTCTCCACATGTCTTGCTATTTCTGGATATAAACCAATTTATCCTTCTGAGTTTTGTGCTTTGAAATTTTGTCCCTCTAGATGCCCATTTGGTTCACTCCCTCACTTCTCTGAAGACTCTGCTGAAACATTACTTCATGAGAAAGGCCTTCTGTTAAAACATGTAAAATAACACCACATTTCCTTCCTCTTCTATACCTATAACCTACTTTCTTTTTTCTTCAGGGCAGGTTTTTTTTTTTTTTTTAAGCCTTCATTCATTTATTTTAAGAAAGGGGATGGAGGGAGAGAGGGAGGGAAACATCAATGTGTAGTTGCCTCTCATGCACACACTACTGGGGACCTGGTCTCCAACCCAGGTTTGTGCCCTGACTGGGAATAGAACCAGCAGCCATTTGGTTTGCAGGCTGGTGCTCAGTCCACAGAGCCACACCAGTGAGGGCTTCAGGGCAGTTTTTGACTGCTAGAAGCATCCTAATATTATTCTGCCGTTTGTTCCTAGTAACAGAACTCTGATTTTTTAATTCACCTGGACAGATTGTGGGTCGTGATAAAATTTTGTATTTTCTGCTCTACATCCCTGGTATCTGGGTGCACATAATGATTAAATTCTGGCCAAGAGCACTTAAGCAGAGGCCTATGGTATTTCTTGGAAATCACTTTAAAGAGAGTTGACCCAGAGATCTTTTACTCTTCTGCTTTCCCTTTTCTCTCCACCTGTAGTATGGAACTAACATGTGAAACTCTAGGAGCCATCTTAGATCACAAGTTGACCATGCAGAGACAGACTGTGTGCTAAGGTGCGAGAGCAGGACAAAGGAAGAGTCCTGAGAACAATATTACCAAGGAGTTGTCATACCAACCTGGACTCCCTCTTCATAATTTCTTTTTTTAAAAAAATTATTTTTTCAGAGATAGAGGAAGGGAAGGAGAGGAACATGGATGTGAGAGAGAAACTGATCGGTTGCCTCTCATACGTGCCCTGACCAGGAATCGAACTGGCAGGACTTCACTTTATGGAAGGAAGCCCAACCAACTGAGCCATACTGCTCAGGGCCTCTTCATCACTTCTTGCCCACAAGGGAGAATTTTTTGTCTTTTCTAAGCCACTCTTTCTTAAATAATATGTACCTAAACCTAATTCTAACTGACATAACCTGAGTACATCAGCATGAAGGAGTAGTAAAGAGCCCAGTCTGCTATCTGGATTGCACTCTAGCTGTACCACTCAATACCTTTATTTTCTTGGGTGAGTTCTTTTACTTCTTTGTGACTCAACTTTCTTATTTATAAACTGGGGATATTAATAACATACACTTTTTAGGGTTGTTGTAAGAACTGAATGAGTTAAACCCACCCATTTCCTGAAACATAATAAGGTCTATATGTGTTAACTGTTATTTTCATCTGTAAACTATATAATTTGTTTATTTCTAGTTAATACTTTGTGGAAACTTTTTTTTTAATTGCCTTAGTCCCAGAAACTTGACAAGACCTGATATGTAGTTAGGCCTGATAGATAACTCTGGGATCACTGGACGACTAAATCAATGAATTAACTCTACATTTTTTGAGGGCTTCACCTGTGCTTCCAAGGAGGAATGTGCACTGCATCCCACAGCAGTCTCTCTACTAAATAACTCAGTGAATGGATGAGTGAGAGGCAGAGGTACTACACACCAATCCCATTTTGCTTGTTTCCACTATAGTCTGAAAGTGTCATCTCAGCAAGTCCTCAGAAATAGTGCTCAGTAAGTGTTTACCTGTATCCCCTTTCTGGGCACCTGGAAGTACTTATTCTTCAGCTCCTCTATCTTCTGAATAAAGAGACGATAACCTCCTGGTTTAGAAAATGTCCCCTCCTTCACATCTTTTTCTAGAGGACTGAAAATGTCCTGAAGTAAGGCCACGCAATACTCTGATGATGCTTTCACATTCTGCTTATAAAAGTCCTCTCGTTTTGCTACTAAACATTCCTGTGAAGTGACAAAATAGCACAGACAGTACAGTCAGCCATGAGGAAGATGTTCACCACACATAGACTATAGAGAAATGCTTGTCTTGCAGAGGTTGTGGCATATAAACAGGGTCACACCCTCACCTTGCTGTGAGACTCTAGAATCTCTCTAAGAAGGGTGCAGGTTGAAAAAAATATATATCTACCTCTCTGATTATAATTATCTAGAGCTCCTTTCCCTACCTTTCCTGCTTCAGAGAATGGTTCCAAAAGCACAGACACTGTTCCATGTGAAACTTCTCCTTTGAAGTCCAAATCCAGAATAGCTGAGAGCACAAACGGTGGAGTCAGGCAGGCCTGGGAGCTCCTGGGTCCACCACGTTGTGGCTTTGTGACACTCAGCCTTTGTGGAGTGAGGTCTCCTTGTTGGTCTCATAGACTTTATGTCAAGATTAGATGTAAAGTATTAACCCAAGTGACTTTTCTGTAAGTGCTCAGGAAAGGGTAACGATTATTGATACAACCTTTTGAATGAGATTATTTTTGTAGATTTTCTCAGTATAAGGCTAGGAAGGTAATGAAGATTGTATCCCAGGTATTTTGAGTATTGAGAAAGCCTAACCAAAATATAAGTTCTGGTAGAAGTTAGGCCTGTTTGAGTGTGGTTGGTGGGGTAATACTATGGGTGCAATAATTTATAGTTTTAATTTGAACATTGTACCTAAAATGTCATATGGCATGCTTGAGTGTGATATTATTGTTACAGAATTACATGCTTATGATTTTGTAATAAAAAAGGGGTGCTACTTTTGCTGGACCCTGTATATTTACCTACATTAAATCATTCAGGAAAACTTATATATCAAGCTTTTACATCAGTCAAGAAGGTTGTCGATTGTCTGCTGACATTGACTACATAATTTTATCAGGACCTTTAAATGAAGGGAGGTAAAAGTTTGTAAAATCCTGCCGTGCAAGCCAGGGCAGGGATTTTCACTTGTCCAGGATTGTCACACAGCAAGCCTTCCTTAATTTGTAGGGAACACAGACTTGAAGACATTCTCAAATAGCATTCTTATGATTGGTTTGACTCTTGGTTTTCTAAAAATTCTACCATTGCTTTACATTAAAGACAAAACGTTTCTTGCGTTTTCAGAAAGAATCATATCCTATCAGATTATTAGCAGGCAACATGAAAGTATTGTGCCTTTTGTTAACTTTAAAAGAAAAATAAATTTAAATAATCTTATAAAAATATGGTTTCATAATTTACTTCTTTGCTTAAAATATGGCATCCAGAAAGGGAATACAGAAGAGGATAATTGTAAAAAACATAGTTGGTTATGGTGCCATGGTCTATAGACTGAGGCTAGGAGTATTCTATTATGTTAGTAACGATTGCAAATGAATACACATTAACTGAGTATGTCTGTCTTTGGATCTAGGAATAACTACTCATATCTAGAAAGGTCCAGGTTTTCCTGCTTCTTGTTAGCTAGAAGAGCACATATACCCCTAACTCCTTCTGGAACTTTTGGTCCACGTCCTTGAAGGAACTCTTCATGAAGACTTCGATGGCCTCTTTCTCACTGTCCCTGTGCACGTCCAGCAGCTCCTGGAGGGTTTCCGTGGGCAGCTGCAGCTTCTGGCCCATCTGCTGGTCGTAGTGGGCGATGGCCTTTTTCACTGCGGCGGAGTTCTCTATCTGGGCCAAGGCCAGGACTGCGTTCTCCATGCAGGGCAGATCCCCACTGCTGATGGCATTGACATAGGTCAGTACCAGGCTCTCCAGTCCTACAAAAGAGTATTTAATAAAATAGCAATTATCACTTGGTGAAAGAGAAGAACAAACCATAGACTGTTTAGTTCTGAGAACGTGAATTTAATTATTTATTTTTTTAGAATCAAGTGCTAGAATACTCCTATGCTTTTCTAATGTCACAAACAGTAGTTTAAGAATTTTCTGAGGGAACAGACACTTCTCCAAGGAGGACATACACAGGGCCCAGAGGCATATGAAAGGATGCTCAGTGTCACTAGCCCTCAGAGAGATGCAAATTAAAACCACAATGAGATACTAGGTCACACAGGTCAGAATGGGCATCATAAACAAATCAACAAACAAGTGCTGGCGAGGCTGTAGAAGAAAGGGAACCCTAGTACACTGTTGGTGGGAATGCAGACTGGTGCCACTGTAGAAAACAGTTTGGAATTTCCTCAAGAAGCTAAAAATGGAACTGCCTTTTGACCCAGCAATTCCACCACTGAGATTATACTCTAAAAATCCTGAAACACCAATTCAAAAGAACCTATGCACGCCAATGTTCATAGCAGCACAGTTTAAAATAGCCAAGTTTTGGAAGCAATCTAAATGCCCACCAATAAAAGAGTGGATCTTTTGGTACATTTATACAATGGAACACTATGCAGCAGAAAGAAGGAAGGAACTCCTACACTTCACAACAGCATGGATGGAACTGGAGACCATTATTCTAAGTGAAGTAAGCCAGGGGGTGAAGGACAAATACCATATGATCTCACCTATAAGTGCAACCTAATCAACAAAACACAAGCAAGAAAAATATAACCAGACACATTGAAAGAAAAAACAAATCAACAGTAACGAGGGGGGAGGGAGGATGAGAGGTAATGGGGAAAAGAAGGGGAAGGGTCCAGTCAAGGAACATGTATAAAGGACCCATGGACAAAGCCAAAGAGGAGAAGGGTTGAGGGTGGGAGGTGAGAGTGGGTGGGGCAGGGGAAAGTGGTGGTGGGAAAATGGAGTCAACTTTACTTGAACAATAAAAAATGAAATTTAAAAAAGGATTTTCTGAGGGAGAATAGCAATGTAATATTTTGCTAACATCTAGATTCAGAAAAGTTTAATTTTTTTTCTCCTTTCCTCAAACAAAAGGAACATGATGCAATGAATGGATCAATGGATGCAATGAATGGCCAAAAAAGGATATTTTCTGGCCAAGATATTAGGTCTTGAACTTTTCTCAGCCTTTCTACATCTCCCTTTATTTTGCCTTCCTTTCTGTTCCCTCTTCACTTCTCATTTATGAAAAGGCTAAGGAGAAAACTTAGCATATGTGAGCATGTGTGTGAGCATGTGAGCATGGGTGTGAGTGTGTGTGTGTGTGTGTGTGTGTGTGTGAATGCCTGCAATAGGCCACTAGTCCTAGGTTTGACCTAGATAAGCAAGTCTTCCTAAATAGTGCCTTATCAGAGCTACCTGCAAAGTGACCAACTCATCCAGGTTTGTGCAGGGCTTTGCTGGTTTTAGCATTGAATGTCTTACATCCCAGGAAATCCCAGCCTCGGGCAAACTGGAGTGGTTGGTCACCCTGCAAGTAGCAGTTCTTTGGGACTCAATCCTGGGCCTCCTCTTCAGTTTCTATAGCTTTAAATAATATCTATATGGATACTAGCGAATATTATTTCCTGCGTTGACTTGATTTTTAAGCTTTATATTTATATATTTAAATATCTGCATGTTATCCCTTCTTGTATACTCCAGAGGAAAATCAATATTAAATAATCCAAATATAAACAACTTCATCCACTCTGAAAAGCTATTTATCCTTCAGATATTCCTCTCAGTAAATGACATCCATTCAAGCAGTTACTTTATTTCGAACACTGGAGTCCTCCTTTCCTGTTCACATCCATCACTGAGCCTTATGGATTTAACATTCAAAAAAGGTGGGGATCCTGTCCATTTTGACCATTATCATAATCTTAGCCTAACAAAATCCCCATTTATTACTAAAATCTTGCAAATATTATCCATCTTCTCATTGTCTCCTTTATATCCCTCCAATACATCATCTACGACATACCCGGAAAGACAGTTTTAAATATAAATTAGATAACTTCACCTCTCTGTCTAAAATACTTCAAGATTGTCCCATTGAATTTAAACTCTATTCTCCTTGCAGTCACCCACCAGTCCTTTCAAGTACTGGCCCCTACAAACTTCTCCAACTGTGGTGCCACTCTTATGCTTTCCACTGTTACTTAAATTACACTCTCTTTCTTTTCCTTTGTTGAAATTAACAGAGTTCCTTTCTCTCTCAGGTGTTTTTGCATGGTATTATCTCTGTCTGCAAAGCGTTTTCTCTATTCTTCTGGTTGATGAATACTCATTCAGTTATGATCTTACATTTTGCTTTCAGAAACAAATATTCTCTGTCTTTGAATTCAGGTTATCTCCTACTTGCATACACTCCTTACTTTCTCATAGCAGCCTATTATTTTAATTTATTGTGCTTTTCTATATTTATTATTATAATTTGAAGCAACTTTACTCCTGTTATGCTGAAATAAGGACAGAAATAAAATATTTTCTATTTACCATTATACCTAGTTATTGGTGAATTTCAAGAATTTCCAGTCAATTTTCCTATTCCTGAATTGCTGAATAAGGAACTTGTGCTAAGGCTAGTAGCAAAGCCTCACATCAGTGGAGTATTTGCCTTTTCCAGACTTTGTCAATCTATATAGGTCTACTGGAAGAATATAAAAAGGGAACTGGGAAGTTCATGGGGAAAATTACTGCACAAAAGTGGACTCTAGTTCTTCTCCTCTATTCATCTTGCTCATATGAATATTAGATAAGATGAGAAATAGTTTTACTTGTCACATAAAGTTCACAATGTGATCCCTGTGGTGTGTTTTCCTGAGCATCGTTAGACTACGTGTTTGTCATAAGTGCCCTTATACCTCCCTCTTTTATTTTCTTCAATGTACAGAAGGAAAGTCTAAGTAAAAAGTGGGGAGTGAGAACTCACAAGGCCCATTGACTACGATGCCGCCTAAGAGAGTCTTGGCCTCAGCATGTTTGAAAATGTAGGAGCAGAATTCTGCTACTTGTTCTCTGAACTCAGAATTCATATCTTCCTCCTTCAGCTGCTCCAGATGGACAAGGTACTTCCTTTGAGTGGGACGGTCAAAGATGAAGCACTTCTTCTTCGGGAAGAACTTTCGGATGCACAACCGAGGTTCATTAAAGCTTTTAGTTTTTGCATTGGTTTCTAGAGGAACAAAAATTAGAAATAGTACAACTTTACATCAACTGCCTAAAATATATGATACTTCAACTTCATAATCTGCACAAATCCTATGTAAAGAGATAAAAAATAAACTCATTATGGATCAGGAATTTTTAAAAAATTGAAGGGTAGAGAAAATTTCTTTCTCTAAGAAGAGGAAGAGATCTTAAAATTAGATCCATCTGATTAAGCCAAAGCATGTTTTCATTTCCTGTAATAGAACAGTCAGAATCACACAATCACAAAATTATAATTTTAGCATCTACATACAAATGGTCATTTTAATACTGTTTTCTCTTTATTTGTCACCCAATGATCAGTCCCAGTCACCTTGCTTTAGTTTCAGTGACAACTCCAAATACTCATCAGCAGTGATACGTTGACCATTTACTTCTAGCTCCAGGGAGAAATCTCTCAGAGTCCACACAAAGGTTGGAAAGAAGCTCACAAAGTCAGCTGAGTCTTCAACCTCACAATCACCAGGTGAGGAGTGTGCCCTGATTCGATCAGTCAGCTCTGTTACATAGCTGAGTTGTTAACATAGGAAAACTGCAGAAAAGAAGTAACACTTTTTATGCACTATTTTGTCCCAAAGCTCAGCTGAAATGATTTTTTCTCTTAATTAGCTCATTCATTCATTTTTTCCGTTCATTCCACAAACATCTATTGAGCACTTAGTATGAACCAGGCCCCGTTCTAGGGACGAAGAATATTGCAATAAATGAGACAATGTTAATATCAGAGAGTTTACATTCCAGTCGGGGAGTCAGATAATAAAAGAGTAAACAAATATATAATAAAATTTGAGATATTAATAATAATTATCTTAAAGAAAAAGGGACCAGGCTAAAGGTTAGAGAATAACTGTGTCTGCATGTGGTGCTGGTTTATGTGGATGTTCATGTAAATTGTCTCTGAGGTTCCATGAACAGAAATATGAATGAATTGTGAGAGCCAACTGTGCACAAATCCATCGTCAGAATATTTCAGGGAGAGGAAATAGAACTTGCAAGCACTTAGATAAAAAATTACTAAGTGTCTTTAGTAAATAGCAAGCAGACCAGTATGACTAGGGCCAAAATCCTAGAATGGATAGGGTCCGCACCATGTAAGCTATAGAAAGAGTTTGAATTTTAATCTAAATTTAATGGGAAGCCATCGGGAAGTCTTAAGCTCAGAGGGGTATGACCTGATGATGGTTTTTAAGAGATCATTTTGGCTGGTGTTGTATCTGTGGGAAGCAAGAGTGTAAGCAGAGAGAAGGGTTGGGTAGTTAAGGAGGTAACCTAGGTGAGAGAGGATGGAAGTCCTAAACTAGAGTTATTGTGCAGAAAGGGGTGAGAATTCGTCAGCATAGGCAAATATCTATGACAGTGCAGCTGACAAAACTTGCCAACTAGTAGTTTCTAAGATATGAAGAAAGTAACCATCCAGGAAGCATTCTGAGTTTTTGATTGGAGAACCTGTGTGAATGCTGTGGGAATTTACTGTCATAGTGACAGAGTGCTTTTGAACAGAAAAATTCAACACTCTGTTTTACATGCTGTTTGAAATGTCTCTTACCCTATAAGTGGAGATACTGTGTAAATGACTACATGTACAAGATTGCACTTGTGAGCAGTGGTCATGATTACATAATCAACTGTTACAGTAATCAACATACAGGTACTACTGAAAGCCTTCAATCTGGATGAGGTCACTTAAGGACTGAGAATAGAGGAAGAACAGAAGATGCCCCAGAATCAAATAGCTGTAATATTTAGGAACCAAGAAGATGGAACAGTGAGGAAGGTGGAATATTAGGATATGGTGACATTGTAGAAACTAAAAGAACCACCTGTTACAGAAAAGAGGAAAAGATCAACTATCAAATGCTACTGAGAGATCAAATAGTATGAGAAGTAACCATTAGATGTAAGACCATGCAGGTAATCTTTACAAAAGCTAATACAGGACAATGGTTGAAACTAAGTTATAGAAATGTTGACGCTGTTGATAATGACCAAAACTAGGAATGAAGGAGAATGCAGGGTAAAATATGGGATGGTGATGAAACTGAGAGATCAGAGTGTTGGATTAATGTGTATTGGCTGTTCAAATTTCTAAGAATACAGTGAACTTGGAGGTAAAATTTTTAACAAATGAAGGGTTTCTTCACAGCGAGGTTGGTTTGTTCACAGGGAGGTTGGTAGATGGCTGCAGCAATGAGGGATGGCATCGTCGCAGTGCATGCCCTTCAAAGGGCTTTCTCTTTTGAATGGGAGAAGAATGAAAGTAACTGGAAGCTGTCATAAGGAGCAAGGAGGTTACCTAGCTTTTCTGAGACTTACGAAATGCAAGGTATAAGAGAAAAGAGTCACCACTAAGATCACTGGAGAGGTCTGTAGGGGAAACAATGTCCACAAGGTATAGACAGAACTCAGTTAGAAGGAAATATTTAGAGGATATGGTAAGGATATAGAGATTTGCTGAATGAGAGCATGAATTTTAGAGTATATTGTGGGTTAGGCAAGGGAGAGGAGATTAAGCCAGATGGGGGATGTACAGAGCCTTGTGCTGCTATATGTCTAAGAATAATATCTAATGATAATCTCATTCTAGTGAGGGACAGACACAGATAATAAACAAGTAAACAAAAATATATAAAATCTGAGATACCAGAAAGGTTTGGATTTCTGAGGCTAATTTAAGTGAATTTGGACATTGAGCATCTAAGATTCATTTCGGAGGGGACTTATGAATTCTTCTGCAGTTGCCCACCTCTCTACCTGGGGAAAATATGAAGCAGTCACTTTCTGGATTTAGGTTGTTCTGAACTACAAAAAGGATACTGCAGTTGGTCCATGGCCATTTGGTTGATGGTTCCCATGCTGTTGTAGACGAAGGTGCTACTCAGGAGGACTGCCAAGGCGAAGATCTAGGAGTCATTCTGGTTGTCTCCCTAGATGTCATTGCAGCGCCCCATGGAATAGACAGTAAAAGCACCATGCTTTTAATTCAGATAGATAAAGTCTGGATCAGCTCTGTTTCTATCTGGGAACTTAGGTTAGTCATTTCCCTATTAAAATTTTTCTCATATGTACAATAAATTTATGAACATTAAATTCATAGTGTCATGAAATTTAAAGAAGGCAATGCCTATAAATGCATAGGAGAGTGATAGTAATAAGTATTATGATCAGGTAATACATTTTAAATAGATCTCCTGAACTTAGATTGTGATCCTATTACGTTTCTATGGCATGCTATGATAAGAACTTCTTAATAGTTAACATACGCTCCTTTAGTAAGAGTTTTATAGGTCTAAGATTTATAAGAGTACTAACATATGTTATTATCATATGTTATAATAGCATAATAACATAATATCATGTTATTATGATCCTTTATGAACAATATACTGACATCAGATCTTATACTATGCTTTTCTTATGAATAGCACAGCTGTGGATAGGACCATATTTACCAGCTTTCTGTATTCCTACTGAGAGAAGTCAGATATGTTTGTAAAGTATCTAGTCAAGTTTAGAGGCACCTTCACAGCCTCAGCAAAACATTTTCCTATTATATTAAAGAGAAATGACTAAAACTGTCCTTGGCCATTTTTTATAGGTTGTATAACCTATGGACTGACCTTACTGTCCACTCTCAATGCTTACATATGTAATGTGGCCAGGCGGAGTTCAGTGTTTTAGGGATGCAACAACACTTCAATTAGCTTGTTATTGTCATACTTTATATTTACTTTTCTTACATAAATCTCACTTTGGTTGGCTTCAAATTAGATTTAAGGTCAAATGTTGACCATTACTAAGTAAATGAAAGAAAGGATACTGTTAATATGATGTTAGAAGCCTAAATCAAAGAGTAGGGGGGAGGCAGTAAAAGAGGGCTACTGATCTGACATAAGTAAGATTTAAAAATTCATGTTTTACCTTCTCTACATCCCCCAGGCCTTCGGTGTCAAGCAGAACGAGGGTGTGGTCTGCCTTCTCAGGATGAGGCACACACCACATCCAGATTCCCTTGGTGTGAGACTGCACCGTGGAACCCAGAGAGAAGCCTGCAGAGGGGAGAGGTGATAACAGGAATCGGATTTTTAATATCAGATGGTTATGGAAATTGAGATAGAAGTTAATGAAATCAAAATTAAGAAAGATAAATGAAACCATAGTCAATGATAACCTTAATTACAACCAGAAAAAGGAGTTAATTATAGTATCCATTACAAAGTGAAACATTTATTTTACTTTAAAGATTAGTGCAAGCTTTTAAGAAGACAGCAAAAACAAAACAAACAATTCCCGTGAACTAAAACAGAAAAATAAAGAACAGTACAAGCTTGATATTAATACACATTTTAGTAAATGTTTATAGTTTATTATCATGTATGTTAATTGTATTTATCACAACCTTATTCTTCCCAGAGAATCACATTATAACTTAAAAGGGGAAATGAAGGCAAAATGAGAACAAAGAGTGAGGTGACTCTTATCCTCCAGAACAGCGTAAATGTAGGGAGCTCATCAGTGAACCGAAAGTTAGGTTCTGATATTTCTTTCCATCTCTAACTTTCTCTCCTCACATCTATCTCCAAAGTCAGGCTGGGAGTGGGGTGAACAGAAGGGACTCAGCCGAGCTTTGCTGGTGTCACTCACCCTTGTTCACCCCAGCCAGCTTGTTCATCAGGTAGGATTTGCCTGTGCGGTAGAGACCCACAATGGCCACCACGACAAGAGGCTGGGTAATGGCAGAGAGGATCTTCAGAGCTTCCTGATTAACTACCAGTTGCCCTTCGTTGTTCTCAATGAGGCACACTGGGCCTGGCATGTGGGTCTCTGAGGCCATGTCCAGGGTGTAACCTTGTCTGCAAGAGAAGAGATGGAATGGAAAACCATTTCTAGTCAAGCTGAATGAGAACTTACAAATGGACTAAATCTTTATTTTCTGTCTGTGACCATTTTTCACTATATGTTTTTAAAAGTCCTGCAGCCCCTTTAATGTTGTCCTATAGACTAGTCCACTGCTTCTCTTTAAAAATAACTAAATTTTGAAATAATTTGTATATATAACAGGTATGACTGGTTTTCATATACCACTTCCCCCAGCATCTGTAGTGTTAATTATTTATACAAAATTTTAATGTTGCTACATACTGTTAACTAATCTACATACATTTTTTGCATTTCACCATTTTCCCACTAATGTCTTTTTCTGATCCACAACAACTGAGGATCTCATTGCTGTCATTGTTTTCTTAGCCTTCTGTCACTTTTGATAGCTTCTCATTTCTTATTTTGTCTTTCATGACATTGATATTTTAGAAGCGAGCCAGCCTCTCAGTTTGTAGAATATCCCTCAATTTGGGTTTTTTTGGTGGTTCCCCATAATTATATTGAGATTATGCATTTTTCTGGCAAGAATGCCATCCAAGTGGTGTTCTGTCATTCAAGTGGTGTCTCAGTGCATTGCATCAAGGGATTTGTGATGTCAATATAACACTGATACTATGATGTTTACTTTCATTACTTGCTTAAGGTTGTGTCTGCCAGATTTCTCTATTGTAAAGTTACTACTTATCTCTTTGTAACTACAAAATACCATTTGGAAAGATATTTTTGAGACTATGATATTATGTTCTCATTATACTTTCCTATCATATTCAATGCTAATTTTAGCTGATAATCTGTTGATAATGATTCTTGCTTGTACAATTATTAATGTAGTGTTTGCCAATGGGTCATTCTGTATTCCACCATTCCTTCAACATTTATTAATTTAAGTTCTACTATAAAGAGGATCTATCCTTTCTCCTACATTTATTTATTTAGTCATTCAATTATTTAGTTGTGTCTGTATAGACTCATAGTTATTTATTTTATTCTATGGATTTAAATACTTTACTATCATTATTTATTTTGTTGCTTAGTTTGCCCCATATTTTTTATTGAAACTTTTTGAGGCTGTCCACCGTGTCCTTTTGGCATGCTCCCATTATATTCTGAGCATTTCCTACTTTCTGGCACCACAAGGTATCCTACCTAGTATTATCTCTGATTCAGTGTTCAGACGCCAAGATATCACATTAGGCGTATACATTACTTCTAGGCTTCTCAAGGCAAAAGTTAAAATATGATGTATGTATGTGTATGTGTATACTAACACAGGTGTACAAACATCTATTTCTTCATCTATCCACTTTTATACATTACTTTGACTTCCTGCTTATATTTCCAATTGCAATCTAACACAACAGAATTTTCTCTGTTCTTTCTCCATTCTTTCTTTTATTCTTTTCTTTCACTATGAGAGCCCTGGTTCTCATTACCCGTGATAAATTTACTTATTTGCTCCATTCCAGTATACATAAAAAGTCATTTCAAAATTTTAAATTCATACTTCTGTGATAACTAAATTGACTAACTAGAGTACATTATTAGTATGCAGCTCTTTGTGTCTTTAGCCATATGTGTACAGTCAGAACACTGTCTTCCAGAGTTTCTTAGATCAGTTCTTTCCTTCCTCATCTTCTTCCGTCTAGTGAAACCATTCACTTGTAATGCAGTCAGGTTCATTGGTTACTGTTTGTGTTTCATTTCAGCCTCCCCAAAGTATTGGTTAATTTTAAATGTGTATTTATTTTTTGAGTATGTGAAACATTACATGTTTCTAAGAGTCAGAACTTTCCAAAAAATTATGCTCAGAGAAACGTCACTTCATCACTTTACCACTCCATCCTCATTTTACCATTCATTCGTTTTTACTCCCCCATTCTCACCCATCCCCTGCAAGTCCCCAATCTCATTAGTTTCTTGTTTATTCTTCCTAAGTATCTTTTTTACAAATGAACAAATATATGTCTACTACCTTATTCACATTTTCTAATGAGAAATCAAATAGTATAGATATTTGGAAATCACTCCATGTCACTTCATAGACAGCTTTCTCATTCTTTTTGACAGATTCCTATTCTGTTTTGCCTATAGACCATGGTTTAGCCAACCAATCTATGTAAGGTCATTTAAAATGCTTCCAAATTTTTTTAAAATCACAAACAATGCTGCAATGAATAACCCTGCTAACCTGTTCTCATTTTATTTGGCATTTTACCTTTTTCTTCAGTATAGATTCCTACAAGTGGGATTGTTTTGTCAAAAGTAAGAACACATGCTTTTGTTATATGTTGCCAAACTCCTTTCTGGAAGGGTTTACTAAATTGCCTTCCCACCAGCTCTTCTGGTACCTCATTTTCCAGAAAATGGAGATTTTTCTTGTGTCTTACATCTTCTGACTTTCTTACAAAATTTCCTTTAAAAATTTTTTACCTTCACATTTAGATGTTTAGATTGAACAAAGAGGGGATCTTTGAGCCCTGGTATGTAGCACCTGGAGATTGTTGTGTAAAACATATACATTGTGCTTTGAAAGACAAACACCACCCTAACCCAGGCTTACCCCTTGTTTCTCCCAAGGCTGTTCCTGGGCAGGATCTGGGTCAGATGGAGGGACTCAGACTCCCCAGTGGCTTTCTGCTTCCTGCTGTCACTGTGCTGGAAGCCCCAGAGCTTCCGCAGCCCATCCTGGTTACCCACTCACTGGTGCTTAATCTTTGCTCTGGATCTGCATGTGCACGTTTTCCACCCAAGACGTGATATCTCAGATCATACCCTTACTCTCTTGATTTTTTTTACTCAGTTTTGTTACCAGGTTTTGATCCCCTGTGTTTTCAGATTGATTCTTTCTTACCTCCACCTATCTGCTTGCATATTGCCCTTAATTATTTCAGGTAATGAAGCCGCAATGATGAAACATTACCTTATAAATCAAAGTCTGCTTTTTCACTAAACTCTGCTCTATATAAATTATTTATTCACACAATTGGAGACATGACCAGAGCTTGATGATTTGATAATTTTAGAAAGTTAAAAAATGTGAAAAGTCTTCCTTTAGCAATGACTTCCTTACATTTTTGCTTTTTGTAGCCTTAAATGTCACAATCCCTGTAACGTGAAATGATCATCATATAACGCTTTGAGTTATGTATGATGTTATGTAAAAAACTAACATTGTTAGTTTTTTGAGATACGAACAAATACAGACTTTGGGCACCCCCACTTTTACTCTTATCCTATAAGAAAGAGTGGTTTTCTCACACTTTAAAGTTGGTTACCTCTGACATGCTCTTGCAGAGGGATTACAGCTCTCAGAATGCCAGCCTTGCCTGCTGTCTGGCTTCCCATCTCTTCAGGGGAAGATGCAAAGAAAGGCTTTTTAAAAAGTTAAAATATACTTAATGTACAATATTATATTAGTTTTTTGTATGATTAGGACCCATTTTCTCTTACAACAATGGCCCACAGAGACTGCTGACAAGAGGATATTCAGTCTGATATAATAACATGAGACATAATTCTGTAAAATTAGAATCATTTAATAACAGCTTCAGAAAAATAGTGGCTGTACATAGATTTAAAACCTCCCAAATTACAGAAACTTGCGGCCTCTTTTTGCACTCTCCAAGTTGCCCAGCTTCTACTTACCTAGCATATAAAAGTTTACAATAAAGAATGAAATGGAGTCTGAACTTTAGTAAGTGGGTTTTTTCAAAGGTAAAGGTAATTTCAGTGTCAAAAAAGAGCTACTCTTGAAACATTCCAGACTCTGTGGGCTCTCCTTCTGCTGGAACCTCGCTGAGCACAGAGCTGGAGCAGTGGAGCCCTGAAGGGGCGCCCTGCTGCCTGAAAGCGTCAGAATTCCAGCTAAACGCCTGTGGGGGCGATCTGCTGCAGCCTATCCCCGGGATGGTCATTTCAGACAAATTAACAGACCCTTGTAAATCTCTCCCCACCCTTCCTCAATCTTACCAGAAGCAGAGATCCTTTAGAGTTGAGAAGACAGCAGCTCCAATTAGGAAGTTAGAAGTGCTTCCCCTCTTCCCTTTTCTTCTAAGTCTTACTGTGCTAGTTTTTCTCAATCTTCTCTCTCCCTGGCAATTGGGCCTTTTAGTCTTACGCCTTTCAGTGTCCTGGAACTTGCTGCACTTCTTTCAGAGACCCAGTGACTACAAACCAAAACTAACAAGCAACTCCTATAATAAAGTAGACTAAAATGAAACTGAAAATGCTGAGACAATGGCAGTCTGCCACTCAGTATTTTGATGAGAGCTTTGCTAATGAAAAGGTTTGACATGATTTCTCTACTGAAATCCACAAATTTTATCGTTAGAGACTGCTTGCAATAAAAATAAAAGGCCCATTGGACAAATTAACATGCAATTGACCCTTGAACATCATCGGTTTGAACTGTGTGATTCTGCTTATGTGCAAATTTTTATATTTATAATGTAAATATGAATAAAAATAATCTTTACCTTAAATAAAACCTACTCTTTCCTTGAATAGAAAGTTATATATAATATACTAAATGAGAGAATTAAAATCAGTGGAAACAGAAGGGTGTGACCTAAACAAATTGTAATATTAAAGCTTTGTTGGATGCTTACTTAAAATACTACCCAGCACCGTTCCAGAATCTAGGAGAGAGAGGGCCAGCCAGGGATCACTTAAAACTGCTACAGGCAGAAATGATTGTCTTTTAAATGAATGGTCCTCGGTGAATCAGGGATCCATAGGAAAAACAAGAAAATGACTCCTGCCCTATACCATACACAAAAAGCAATTCCAGAAGGATTATAGAATTAAATATAAAAGGAAGAACCATAAAGCCTTTGGAAAATAATCTGGAAGAACATTTTTAAGTTTTTGAAAATAAGGAAAGGTTTGTTAGGACACAAAATGTACTGAACACAATTGTAAACACTGACAAATTTGACTATATTAAAATTAAGATATTTTCTTCATCAAAAGACACCATTAATAAAGGAAAAGGCAAGCCACATATGTGGGAAAACATAAAAAGACAAGTGATACATATACAGAAAATATAAATAACTTCTACAAGACAGAATACTCAGTAGAAAAATGGGTATGAATTTAGGCACTTCAAAATGAAGATATCCAAATGACCATAAACTTTAGAAAAGGACCTAATATGAATCATAAATGAAAGGTGAGTTAACATCATTATGATATTGTAGTGCACATCTACTAAAATGGCTTAAATCAACAATACTGCTAATTCTGAATGTTGATATCTTACCTACTCAGCATTGTGTTCATTTTGTGATATTTCATCTACTGTTTACATTTGATCTAAGCAATTTTTTGTTCTCATATTGCACATATTTTTAAAAAATTTAATCTTCTGGGAGCGGTCTTTACACTAATAAAAAGGCCACATGGGCCTATAGTTAATTATACATGTGTTCTCCCCAAATGCAAGAAAGAACAAAATGAACATGCCCTGCCCCTCTGCTTCTTTAATGCCATGGTCAGCTGATGATATTTTGAGTCCTTCGTGAAATAATTGGAAAATTTAAAGTCTACTCCAAAATTACCTACACTTTCAGGAAAATAGGCTCAGATCCTAAAACAACCAGTGAGTGTGTGGATAGGGTTCAGGGCTATTTTAAACTTTAATCTGAAAGAAATTGGGCAAGCAAGGGTGCACCAATTCTTCCTGTCTCCTTGCCTTCTCCAGTTTAGTCTGTCTGATTAATATTTTGTCAATGATAGAGTCTATAGTTCATTTCCATCTTTTTCATGAATGTAAAATTCTGTTGTCCAGTTCAAGACAAATTTTGAAACTTCATTTCCTGTTAGTATGAGACTGAAATTGAAATTAAGGCAGGGTTACTTCTAAATAAAGGTAATGCTGAGAAATCAGCTGCTTCATCTCCCAACCAATGAAGCCTATTGTTTATTTCAGGCCAAGAAAAAATAATTCCAGGAATGTTTGAAATCTTTGTGTGAACTATGTAACATGTAAAGGTAAATAAAGGTGAATTTTTTATGCTTATCACCTGAAAAAAGACTACTTCTATATCCCCTTTTAAAATGTTTCTTTGGAAACCATCAGTCAGTGTTTTTTTTTCCTCTAAACTTCTGAATTTAAATAAAACTGTTGTCAGCTTTACAACTCCAAGTGTCTGGGCCTCATCCTTCTTTTGTAATTTAAATACCCACAAAATTAGCCCTCCAGGATCCCTGAGACCTTGGAAATTTAATCCAAGTACCTATCTTAACTGTAACCACGTTTTCCTCAGGGAAAAATGTTTTATTATGCTTGCAGATGAGAGTTGTTAATTAAACAATGGTACCTATGCGTTAAACAGTGCCCCCTAGGCTCACCTCAATTTTCAGGTGAGCCTGGGGTGCACTCTATGAAGGAAGGTACAGAGAATTAAGAATGTAACAGTAAATAGTGCTTCCAGCCCTCTTATGAAAAAAACAGAACACCAATGATCCAGGGAAATACATTACATACTGGTTATGAGCAGTGCAAAAGGATTTTATCTGTTTGGATATATAAATAGCGTAAAATTTCATCCTGACTTTCTAGTCACTTTCAGTCTACCTGCATGCATGTACTTGGTTCTGCTTACTCAATATTAAAATAGGTTTCTTATTTTCTACACTTTTATGAAGAGGATATTCTTTGTTGGTAAAACTTCTAATTCACCAACAATATGAAACAACTGAATTTGCTGGCTTCCCTCCAAACCCCTTTCCAGATGAACTAAAGTAATTATCTGTAGATAAATTTGGCCATGTTGGTTGAAAATGATTCAATTTATGGCATGTATAAAATTATTCTATTTACGAAAACAATTTATAAAACAGTAATTAGTGTATAAAAGCCATAAAGCATAAAAAGTGTTTTTTTTTAACTGATAGAGGTTAGTGAGGCTTCATTTAACCGAAATATTTTTTCATGTTGAATTTCATAAAGGATGGTCTAACAGATGTGTCCAAACTTTGGAGTCTCTGGGCCACACTGGAAGAAGAAGAGTTGTCTTGAACCACACATTAAATACATTGTGACACATAATCATAAAAAAAATCTCATAATGTTTGAAGTACATTTATGATTTTGTGTTGGGCCGCATTCACAGCCATCCTGGGTTGCATGTGACCCTCAGGTCACAGGTTGGACACCCCTGGGCCACTAGCATCTTGTTGTAGAAATACTGTTTTGTTTGTTTTGTTTTGTTTTTTGTTACAACTAGTGGACTCAACTATGGGGCCTAGTGAAAATACTCAGAGAAAGTCCCATTTTTTAACATCCTGCTATACAATCTTTGGTGAAAGTTGGCCTCCACTGGGTACTCACAGACAGAGCAGGAGGTAGGAGGGAGCCTCCTTGGTGGGGCAGGCGGGCTGAGCATTTCACAGTTCAATGTTGAACAGCGGTACCTAGAGGACAGAGGTAACCCCTTGCCTTTACCAAGAGCCTTGAACTAAATTGGAAGTAATAGAAGCCTATCAATGACACAAAACAAGAGCATAAAGAAGAAGAGAACCCACATGAAACAGTGTGTACAGTCTGCTAAAACTGGGAGTGGAACAGTGATACGAAGACAAACCTGGCACTGCAGGCCTTAAATAAAGAAAAATGGAATTGCAGAGCTTCAGTGGAGAAATTGGAAGCTTGTGGCACCCTGAAGTTAGATGTAGAAAAAAGCACTATGGAGTTACCTCGAAAAATTAAAAATGGAACTGCCTTATTACCCAGTGATTCCACTTCTTGGAATTTACTTGAATAAAACTGAAATATTAATTCAAAAGAATATTTTTACCCCAATGTTCATTGCAGCATTATATACAATAGCCAAGATTTGGAAGCAGCCAAAATGTCCATCAGTGGATGAGTGGATAAAACAACTACAGCATGCTTGCACAATGGGATATACTCAGCTTTAAAAAATAGAAGAAAATTTTACCCTTTGCAACAGCATGGACAGACCTGGAGAACATTATGCTAAGTGAAATAAGCCAGTCATAGAAAGACAAGTACTATATAACGTCATTCATATGTAAAATCTAAAGAACAAACTGAACCAATAAACAAACTAGAGACAGACTCATAGAGAGCAGGCTGACAGGTCAGCCTCGGGTTGGGGGTTTGTGGGAGTAGAGGGAGCAAGCCAAAAAAAAAGAAAAGAAAAGAACTCATAGACAGGGAAAACAGTGTGGCGATTGGGGGTGGGGAAGAGCACTGGGTAGAGGTGGAAGAGCGTATAGGGGAGATAAACAGTAACCGAAAAAATAAAATGAAGGAAAGAAAACACAAACCTAACTGAACTACTGTACAACTACATTGAAGCCATGCTCACCGAAAACTTCTTACCATAAAAGAGGTGTGTTCATTTCTAAGCATAAATATATCTCAATTTCATCTATTTTTAAAATAGTGACATTCAGTTAAAAAATTATAAGACAAAAAAATGAAGTAGAAACTATCCATTGTGAAGAGATGAAACAAACAACAGACACAGAAATAGACCAAGTGTTGAAACAATCAGACAGGATCTTTAAAATCATTGTGATTATCATGTTAGAGATACAGTGGGAAAGTAAACAACATACAATCACATGTGCATTTTCAGCAGGGAGAGGAAAACTATTAATAGAGTCAAATAAAAATGCTATAAATGAAAAGCATTTTCATTTATACCAGTGATGAGGAAGTCTTCTCATGGGCTTAAGAGAAGACTGAATGAGTACATAGCAGTAGAAAGAATCAGAAAACCTTAGATGGGTCAACAGAAATTAACCAAACTGAAACCTGGAAAGATTGAAAGAGTAAAAGAAATAACTGAGCATACGTTAGCTCAGGACATCCCACAGAACAATTTCAAAAGGCTTACTACGCATGTAATAGCAATATCAAAAATAAATAAATATAAAGGAAAGAGAAAATGGCCAAGAATTTTCCAAAACTACTGAAAAACAACAAACTACTGTACCAGAAATTAAGAGAAACCCAAGGAGCGTACATAAGAAGAATACATCAAAGCACAGTATAGGTAAAGTAATAAAATTAAATATAAAGAAAAAATTTGAAGGCTGATAGGGAAAAAACTCATCGCATACAGAGAAAGAAAAGTAAAAACGTGAGTGACTTCTTTGTGGAAACTGCAAGTGAGAGAAATTAAACATCTTT